GTCTGGGGCTGAGCGCCCGGAGTCTGAAGAGGAGGCTGAAGAGGCCCAGCCGGAAACCTACAAGGCTGACGATGCCTACGAGTTTTTTGAGGACCGCCTCACCTGAGCACAGGCGACGAAGTGGATGTGGATCCGCCTGCAAGAGGGCAGCGCTACAGCTTCTACCTGAGCGACGGTTTGTGTGTCCTTTGGGCAGGAGGAGATTCTGCCCCAGAGTACGCCGCGCAGATCTTCCAGTCTGCCGAGGCGACAGCGCAGGCTGCGGCTTCAAAGGCTTCCAAGAAAGGCCGTCAGCAGAAGCAGACGACCACTACCAACATTGTGGCCGGGGTTCAGCCTCTGCGAGGAATGAAGGCTGCCAGAGGCCAGTCGTTGCAATGGTGCCACAAAATGTATTCATGTCCACGTTAAGATGTTGATTTTTTTGGCGCAGCAGGAAATCCGTTCCCGTTGCCGGGCAGTGCTGGTGATGCTGCTCCCGGGGCTGAGCCGAAGAAGCGTGCTCGTGTGGACACAGGAGCAGCCTTGCAGCTCTTGCCGCGAGTTCCGGCCTGGGTCTCATTTTTCAGTTTTTTTTCATGCGCGCTCGGGCGCGCAGTCATTCTTCAGTAAGCCTTGAATGCCTTGGTCAGGAAAGCTACGATGAGTCCGAATCCGAGGATCTGGATATCGTGCCTGCTGCTGCCCCGGATTCCGAGGTGTCTTGGGAGCGCAGCATTTTGCGGCAGGCGTATCATGTCTCTGGCCCTAAACTATAATAAGCCCCAAACCCTCCACACGATCTGGATTTTTGGAGGAGCCAGATGCCATCGAGGATGGCGGGGCGACGCCGGAGATGCCGGAGCCTCCCCTGAGCATGCGCCCCTTCCTCTGGACATTGAACGACGAGGCAACAGCTCTCGTGTGCCCCCACGAGTGCAAGATGGTTCTCCTGGCCACGGGGCACGAGTGGATGATTCGCCCGAAGCTCTCCGAGGATGGGGTCGTGGAGTACATTGTGGACACAGTGGACCAGGACGAAGGCGTGAAGCCTCGCTACGCCCACATCATGCTCACAGGTCGCAAGGCCGTGGATGTAAATGACGAGGGCATCATGTCTGAGATCATGCAGAGGACTGGAGTTGCGAAGCGTTTTTGTGCATTTCAGTAGGTAGTAGCCCGAAATCATTTGCTTCCAGGACGGAGGCAGCCTCCCCGAGGTCCATCAAGTCTGAGCGTGCGGCGGCGTTATCGCCCAGACCATCCCCTAAGAAGCTGCCATCCCCAAAGAAGCCGCTGCTTGACGGCTCCCCGGGTGCCAAGCATCCGTTGGTGTCAGAGGATGATCTGAAGTAAGCTTAAGGCTAGGGCGGCCAGGGCTGAGCAGGGTTAAGTAAGGTAATTTTCGTCGCTTTCGGCCACGCCAGACCGCCTTTTTTTTCCATTTTCAGAGGTTGGGTGGCTTGGATGGGGGGGGGGTGCCCTAAAATGCTGTCCCTGCCAGCATTTTAGGGTACCCCCCCCTTTCCCCGTCAGGCAGGATGTTCAGGACTGGAAAGGGGGGGGGGTAGCCTAAAATGCTGGCAGGGGCAGCATTTTAGGCTCCCCCCCCCCCCCCCCCCCCC